TCACTCAACAAAAAGGTACTGTTTTCTTAACGTGTCCAGCACTGGCACATGCATAAAGAGAATAGACAAAGATCTATGTCCTCGTAGCTCTCTCCGGTGCATTATAAAAGTACACCTTATAGCTAAAAAGTAACCTAATCATTGATCACACGCGTGTAATCCTCCACCCATGAAACTTCAGCACCACAGGGGCGGACAGCTCCAGGTCCCCAATACAAGACCTTCCAGGCCAAACGGGCCACTGCAACCCCACGGCTGCTTTGTTACCCACAGACCTAAGCTGGCATGGCGGCCGTCAGTGCCCCAGGGCACGCCTCGAGTCTCCAGGGGGCTGATGCCCAGTCTTCCTCGGTGGTAACCTGTATGGCATGGATCCCCTCCAGTGAAACGCTCTCCAGCCCCTCACTTCTGTTTTCTCGAATCAGCTCCTGTATTGGTCAATGCGACACAGATGAACTGAATTGATGGATTCATCGATCAGTAGAACGACTGATCGATAGATAGGCAGGAAGGTGAGGGCGGGAAAGAGAGTTGGGTGATAAGGAACTGACTCATGCATGCTCTCCTGGAGGCTGGGGATGACGATGCAGGAAAGTCGGCAGTATTATTCCAGTCCAAGCTAAGGGTTAAGAACAAGGAGAGTTGATGGTGTCAGTCTCAGGGAAACTGCAGAACCAGTGTCCAGCTCAAATGGTCAAGCAGGCCCTCCTGCAGCGGGGCGGGGCAGGGCTCCCCCTCAGAGCCCGCGTCCCTTGCAGCAGGCCACGCTGCGAAGCAGGTGTGGGAGAGGCCCCGCCTGCACTTGGCCCAGGCGCCTTCTGGAAGTTCACTTCTGCCCCACTTGCGTAAAAATGTTTGTGCTCCAGTTTGAAAAGTGGCATGTGCAAGTTGTTTTTGATAAAAGTGCAACCTGGAGGCAAGATGTCTCTCTCCTGCCGACCTGTCTTCCCTTCCTCTCACCTGCGGCGGCCCTGGCTCGCGCCCGCACCAGTCTAGGCCACTTCTGCAGACAGAATCTACCGCTCCCATCTGGGGGGCGGGCTGGGACGACGGGGGCAGCCGGGGCGAGGCCTGTGCCTCTGGGGGCGTCGCCCACTGCCCCCTCGCAGGCACAGGGAGGGCGCCGCCCCCGCGGGAGGGTCCTGGCCGCTCCCTGCATCTGCGCACCCCAGCTTTGGAGCCAGGAACAAAGGCCTGGCAGTAGCTGGCGCTAGGTCCTTCCGTGTTATACTCACTCACAAGTCCAGTCCAGCTGTCCGTGGCTACAGAACGGATGACCTGAGGCTCAGCAGCTGAAAGTGACTCATTGAGTCTGTCACTCCTCTGCGGGGGGGGAGGGGTGCGGGGGAAGGTACGGGAGGAGGGGGAAGGCAGGCCCGGCTGCTCGAGGCACGGGAGAGCCGCGCGACGGGGTCCCTTTCCCAGACGGCGCCCCGCCCCCCCGGGCTGCCAGGCCGCGTGGCTGCTGGGGCCCCACAACGGGGCTCTTCGGCCGTACAGAAGGGCCGGGCTCGCTCGATGCCCCGCGGGGCAGGGGAGGCGGTACCCGTCGCCAGGCCGGCACCAGACACGGCTGCACGCCCTGCTGAGGCGGCTTCCAGGCTTCTGCTGTTGCTTGTGGTCTTACCTGTCCATTCACCCACAAATTCCCTCACACCCGTCTTGCAAACACACCGAGGCCGAGCCCAGCCACGAGCGGGCGCAGCCGCGGGCTCTCCCAGCGGCCATCCCCGGGCTGCTGGCAGACACAGAACAGTGGCCTGTCCAGGAGGCACCGTCCTCGTAGGGGCCGCAGGCAGGAGAGGCCTGCGCGGCGCTCCGCCCGCCGTCTCCGGCCTCCTGGCAGGCTCGCCGGCCCCGCGGCGCCCTCCGCTCCCGGCAGCCCTCACTCGGGCCCAGCCGCTTTTTAAAAATTCAACACAGATTAAGCGAACAAGGATTGGGTGGGGCGTGACAGGACGCAGGCCCCGCGCCAGGGGCAGCGGGGCGAGCACCTGTGTGGACGCCGCCGGGTGCGGGCGCTGGGCCTGGGCGGGGCGAGCCCGAGGGCGTGCCCCAGCGCCCGTGCGTGCCCCCCGTCCGCACGTGTGTCCTGGGCGTGTCAGCTGGCGAGCCAGCCCCTCCTCCGCACACTCGCCAGAAACCCCCCTGCTGTAAGGGCGCTGGGGACAGGGGACGCCGTCACGCGCCCTGAGGGACGCTTGGCATCGTGCTCCGCATGTTCGCCAGGCCCCTGTGCTTCGCGGGAGCTCTCCTAGAAAGGGGTGCTGACGGCCTGGCGTTTGTGAGCTGACGAGACAAGACAAGAAACAGAGCAGCCGGGAAATCAAAGAGCAGAGCGAGCTGCGCTGCGGCCAGGCAGAGTGCCCGTCCCCGAGGCCCACAGAAGGCGCTCGTGGGCTGACCGCAGGCTGACTCAGACCCCAGAAGCAGCCGCAGCCAGGCCAGGCGGGAAGGGCGGCGGGAGGGAGCTGTCCGTGGTGCTAGAACAGGCGGGAGGCGAGCCCAGCAGGCTTGGCCTGCAGAGCAGGAAAGCGGGTCCCCAGTCCCAAGCAGCCTGTGGTCTGGATCACAGCAGCTACTGAGGCCGGAGGCCGGAGTCGGGAATGGCGGTTGTCCCTGGAGGGGGGGGGCAGAGAGGACAGCACCGGCGTGAGGCTGCTCCGGGGAGTCGGCAAGAGCCCTGGGTGCATGGGTGGGGGCTCGGTCCCTGAGCCCCCGGGTCCTGAGCGGGGCCACGCCCTGCCCCCTTCCCCTTGGGCCCTCTCCTTCCTCCGCAGGCAGCATGGGGCAGGCCTGGCCCTGCGGCCCCCTGGGCTTCTCGCTGGCCGTGAGGAAAGCCTGCCTCGGGGGAAGCCCCTGGGAGAAGGCGGGGAGGTGCTGAGTGCTCTGACCAGTCAAGTGAGTCGTCCAAGACAGGCCCAGAGAGCCCCAGGCAGGGGCAAGGGCGTCAGCACCGGCTAGCGGCCACTGCCCGGCACGGAGCAGGGCACTTCTCCAGGAAATGCGTCTATTGGCTCAAGCAACTGATGAGTCTCTTCCCCTCAGCGGTGGGTGGCGAGGGGATGACAGACAGAGGCAGGGAGGTGGCGACCAAGACCTGGTGCGTAAAACACTCGGCTAGCAGGCCCGCCGGCTGCGGGTGAGGCGAAGACGCGGCTGCACGCTCCCGCGCCCGCAGAATGGGCTTAGGGAATTAGCGCCCCAAATAAAGTTCCAGGTATTTTACACTCATTCTGTTCACTGTCAAACGTTTTAGTGCACATTCACTGCAAAAGACAGCGCCTTTGGAGTCTCTCCCAAGAGGCCTGGACCACTAAACCTAGAAATGAGACTCAGGCAGGGAAGGGCTGGGGCTTCCGGGCGCTTCCGGGGCTCCTGGGGCTGGGGGGGGGTGCGGGGGGAGGATAAAGCCACAGCCGCTCCATCCGCGAGGACCCAGCCCAGGGCCGACCCGGGAGCTGAGCCGGGGAGCCTCCCCAGCACGAGCCTCCTGTCACCGGAACGTCACCCCAAGCAGAGAGAGCCACGGACGGGGCTCAGCCGGGAGTCGGGTTCTGAGTTTGGCATCGTTAGCGGCAGGTCCACGAGCCACGCTCCGCAGCGCCACGCCGGCCTGCAGGGCTGCCGCCGGCACTATCCATCCACGGAAGCTGCTAGAGGCGGAGCTGGGTGCCAGGGAGCTAACAGTAGCCGCTGTGTGCCACAGCTGGAGGAGGCGGCGAGCGCTGCAGAGACCGGGAGCTGGCGCCAGCTCACAAAAGCTGCTCACTCACCTGCACGTCGCTTGAGTCTTCCTGACGAGTTTTGGTTGGTTTGGTTTCGGTTTATTTTTTTTGATCACGTAAAACAGCAGCAGACAGACACCAGAAAGAACGAGAAGACGGGACGCGCGGGCCACAGCGCCTCCCTGCGGCCCCGCCGCGGCTGCAGGCCCAGGCGGCTCGCCATGGCCTCCGCTGCCCACTGCCCTCCGCGGCTCAGCGCCACCATGCTACGCGGCGCAGCTGGTCCGTCCCGGCACCCTCGGCCGAGCAGGCACCGCCGCCAGGCCCCGCAGAGAGTATCAGCCGGGCCTGCGCCCTGGGGCTGGCGAGGGGGAGGGACCGTGCTGAGCTGAGCTCGTCTGGCCGCCCCGCCCACACGGGCCGCGCTGCCGCTCCAGCCACTGCCCCTTGGCCGTGGTGTTCCTACTGGGATGAAGCCAGAGGGTCTCCAAGGCCCCCGGAGGAAGTGCTGACCGGCCCGGCACCGCCCTTCTGAGCCCCGTCTGCAAACAGACTCCTGAGCCTGCTTCAGGCGCTGCCTCCCCGCCGGGACTGGGCACCGAGGCCGGCTGCCGGGCTGGGAGCCTGGGCCTCGCGAGGGCATGTCCAGCCTGCCCGGCTGGGGCCCGTTTCTGGAAGGGCTGGGAGTGGACGAGGCCAATTTTCTTAGCGCTCACCTTGTACCCCGGCTCTGGGGGCCGGGGCACCGCAACGCGGGCTCTTGCGGCACCCGCACGGCATGCCTTTCCGCAGCCTGGCACAGCCATCTCGACTGGCGCCTGCACCACCGCTCCCACCGCCCCGCGAGCTGGCCTAGAGCACCCCACTGACCCCACGCAGCAGGCGGCACGTCAGCAATGGGGTGCTCGGGGCGGGCGAGGCTCTGCGCACACGGCCACGCCGACGGCTGAGGCAGCGTCACGGCCCGGTGGCCACGAGCTCTGGGCCCCACGCTGCACACACCGTCCCGGAGGGCGCCCCGAGAGCCGCCCGCGTGCACCAGCAGGCTACAGGGACCGGCGGCCTGGGGCGCCGCCTGCACGCCCGGGGACCCCGCTTTGGCCTCCTCGCACCAGGGTGACCGGGGCCGTGCAGGATCCTGCGTGGGCGGGGAGACGACACAGCGCTGCAAGGGGCGGCGGCACAGGTCGCCGGCTGGCCGGGGGGCGCGGTGACAGCGACGGGGGGCGTCGACGGGACGCCTGCAGGAGGTCTCACGCTACACCACGCTTCTCCTGTGCCAGGTTTCTCTTTTTATTTTAGCTTTGACACCACAATAAAACGGAACAAAGAAAACTACCAGGAGGAACTTTATCGTATTTCTAAGACCAATTTGTCTGGAAATAACCAAACCATCGCACTCACAGCTGTGGGGTTCAGTCCTCTGGAGGTGGCCGGGCAGACGGACGTGCCCGGGGCAGGGCGGCGCAGCCTGCAGGCTCCGACCCTGCCGCCCCCGGCCCCAGGCCAGGCCTGGAGCTGGGGAGGCCGGGACAGCCGGAGGGAGGCCGGACAGCGGCTTCAGGGTCGCTCGCAGCCACGGGCTGCCCGGCGCTCAGGGTGATGCCACAGGGCAGGAGCCCCTTGGGGCGCACTTAGGAAGGGGGGTGGTCCTCCCCTCGGATGCTCCGGTACTTGGCCATGTCTTCTGGAAAGACTTTGGAAAGTTCTTGAATCAACAGACTTTTGAATTTCTAGCAAGAAAAAAAACTACAGTCAAGCTACCTCCGTGGGTGACCTGTCACCGCTTAAACACCACCTCCCACTGACTTGGGGTCCTCCGGGGGAGGGGAACGAGCTTCTCCCAGCACCGCTGACCCTCGGGGCTGCCTCTGGAGGACCCAGGCCTGCGCGGGTAGGGACGCATGTCGCCCACATGCCTGAGCTGAACCTCGAAGAGTGTGGGGCGTCCTTCTTAAAGACGCATCTCATGCACACGGGAGCTGGGGTGCAGTCAGAGGGGCGGGGTGACTCCTCAGAGACAGTGGGGAGCAGAGTGAAACGCACTGCTGAGGGGGGGCTGCAGAGAGACAGGGGGGGTCTGCTGCGCCCTGGGGGTCCCTCCCTGGCCGGGGACGGACTCAGGCCGCAGTGCAGATATGCTGAGACCTAACTGGCCCCCAGGGAGGCCCTCGCTAAGCACCAGCTGGCCACACCGCTCTGCGTGCGCAAGCAGCTGGCACCAGGGCCCCGGGACCTGGGGGCGGCCTGCTCTGGCACTCGTGACTGCCCGCCCCTTCTCGGGGTGCCCGCTGCCCCCTTTCACAGCAGCTAAATACCTGCGATCTCAGTCTTCTCCGGGCCACGCTGGTAGACGGCACAGGCAGCCCACGCGGGCACTCACTGTGTACGTACACCCCAGGAGCGCTGCTGGCGAAGGCCAGACTGGCAGCAGCCGGGCTCCCGGGGCGACGGCACGGAGGGGCCCGCATGCGGGCGGCTGCTCAGCCAGCAGGGCCGGCCCGCTGCACTCGCGGCTGGCTCGTGAGGGCGCCGGGCAGGAGGCGGAGCCACGCCCGAGCCAGGGCTCCCAGCGCGGGGGCAGCGCTCACCTTCATGGTGTCGATCTTGCCCTTGACCTGCTCGTTCTTGGCGAGCGCGCGCTCCAGGCACTCCCTGGTGTAGAGCAGCGGGTTCCGGCCTTGGTCTATGTACCTGCGGGCAGAACACGTGCGTGCACCAACTCCCGGCCGGAGCCGCGGGGAGAAGCCGACCCTCGGCGCGGGGCCCCTCACCCCACCGGGACGGACGTGTCCGGGCTGGCCGACTCGGGGCTCTCGCGCACAGGGCCGGCGCCCGGCGCCAAGGCGGACGGCGAGGCCGGCGCACACAGTCACGGGCCCCGCGCCGGGGCCCTCCCCTGGCCCGCAACGTCAGCTGGAGGACGAGGGCACAGAGGGGCCCGGGGCAGACCCAACCTGAGGGTGGCCTGGAGCCCCAGGAGCAGCTGCCCGAATGCCTTCGAGTCCCCGAGACTTCATCCCGCACCTGCCGCTCCCCCCACCCCCGCCGGGCCGAAGCTGACCAGTTATCAGCGATCAGCCAGACGCGTCATTACAGGGAAGCCGCCACACACTAAAGCCCGTCAGCGCTTTTACTGATACCCCGAGTTACGCGAATGGCAAAAAGGGGAACCCGCAAACTGCAGCCATTCCGCCTTGTTCCTACAGCTCGGGAACGGCTCACGAAAGCAGCAAAATGAGCATCCCCCTCACGCCGGGCCGCCCGCTTCTGAAGCAGACAGCCAGCCCGGGCAGGCGCACCGCTGCCCTGCAACACTGCCCGAGCGCCCGGCGGTCCTGCCGGCGCCCTGCCGCACCGCCCCACCAGCTGGCCTGGCCCACGCTGCTGGACACCGCGTGCGAGGACGCGCTGCAGGACGGCAGGGCCCGACGTTCCAGTGCTCCCAGCGCTGCGCTGACCCTGGCTGCCGGCCCCCCCCTGACTGCCATCGTGGCCCTCACCCAGGCGCTGCAGCGGTGCCACTGCCGGGCCCAGGAATCCACCTCAAGGCTCAAGGGGCACCTTGGCATCTGTCCAGCTCGGTGCCCCAGGCCAGGCCAGCATGCAGAGCAGCAGGAGGGCGCTTCCGTAAAGGCCAAGGAGCTCCTGGCCGCTGGCACACGCCCTGCACCTTCACCCACACTCCCCGCCCCGCCCCCCCCCACCGCCCACCGCCGATGAAGGACTTGGCAGGGTTGATGGCAACGGGGAGAACACGGAACACCAAGGCCGGGGTGAGGGAAGGGCCCCCCCCCAAAGCTGCAGCGCCGGACCTTTCCCTGGGAACCGCTGAGGCCCAGCAGCACCCTAGAGGAGGGCCGGGAACCTGCCCCTTGGAGACATAAAATCCGCCCTTTCCTGTGCCGGGGACCGTGGCTGACGGCCGCCGGCCGCCCAGGCCCCCCCACCCCCATTCGCTCGGTCAACTGGCGCGTGACGGCAAGCAGCCCGCGGCGGCCACCTCTGCCCCTGCCCGGGCGTCTGGCTGGGACACGAGCACCAGCGCGATGTGCTGCGGGAAGTCCTGACTGTCTCTCCGGGAGCCTGCCCCCAGTCATCACGAGGGGGCCCCGGGGGACACCCCCTTCCCCAACACTCCCAGTCCAGAGCCTCCTGTCCAACAAGGTGGGTCCCGCGCACACAGGGGCCAGGCCGCCCACAGTCCGGGAGGCCCCGGCAAGGGCCTTTGAGTGTTTCTGCACAAAGCCGGTGACAGAGCCCACTGCGCCTCTCACCTCTCGAGGAGAGGCCGTCACGAGGCTGTGCTCGCAGCCCAGCCGGGCCTGAGCCCAGGCGAGTCTCGCCTGCCAACCGCCTTCCTGGCATGCAGCCTCCTCCCAACAAGACGACGCTGACTACACTCCTCCCCGAGAACATGAGCTCCGAGAGGACGAGTGCATTTTGTGTTTTCCTCCTGTGCAAGTCCCCCGCGCCCAGCAGCTGCCCCACAGCAGGCAGAAGAAACGCCAGGGGCTGGCCGTCCTCACAGGGCGGCCGCACAAGGCGTCCAGCAGGGAGCCCCAGAACGGCACCTACTCGAACACTTCCAGAGGCACCGTGATGTCGTGCAGCTGCTGCCTGCACTTGTCGATGTCCTGCAGGCCGGTGACAATGAAGTTCCTGGGGGAAAGCGAAAGGGGCATGTGGTCATTCGGAGGACAATTCGGCAGCCCCATCCCCACCCCGGCTTGCCGGAGCCCCACTGTGCCCTGGAACAGCCCTTTGGTGAGCCACAGGATTCCCCAGGAAGCGCTGGAGTTCAGAACACCCAGAACCAGAAACTGCCAATAAGGGGGAGGAGCAGGAACCAAAGCCTCAGAGCAGCTAAGAAAACTAGGAACCGTCAAGACCCGGGTGTGTGGGGACGCCGTGTACACTGAGGGCGCACATGGGCATGGGGTTCCAGCTTAAGGGGGCACCCTCGAGGTCCCAGGGAAGAGAACCAGTGCCCTTGGGGGTTTCAGCTTCCCACTGGAACTCCCGGCTAGCCCACAGCGGGTGTAAGGCAGGAGAGCAACTGGGCTTGCACTCTGTGCCCCTATGGAGGGCTGGGCGCTTCTAGAGCTTTCTGCATGTGTGTTTGCCTTTGGTCACACTCAGGGCACGGCCACCACCACAACTAGCCAGAGACCGTTACCAAAAATGGCAAACACACTTCCTCTCTCACCACCTCCAGGCCGAAGCTCCAGGGGGATCAAGGGGGGAGTCTGGCTCAGGCTCTTTTGTGCCCTGGGGAAGCCCACCTTCCCTCTGGGGACAGGACTGAAGTCCCTGGTCCCCAGAAGCGTTCAGGAAGAAAAACCGGGAGAAGTCACAGTGGCCACCCCCAGCGGCTCAGGTTAGGAGCCTGACCCTGTGATGGAGCCGGAGAGGGGACTGTATGCTGGCCATGGACACACCGCCACAGGGGCCCTCAAGAAAGGGTTTCAGCAAGGCAAAGGGGGAAAGGCGCCTGGGCCAGCCTGGAGTGGGCAGCCCTGGGCGGCTGCTCCAGGGGCCTCCTCCGGAAGCACCCTGTGGGGGGCTGCAGGTCCCCACCAAGCTCCGCTCTGTTACCCGCACCGGGGCTGTTTCCCAAGCCGGCCCCACCCCAACTGCCAGTCAGCCCCCAACCAGTTCCAGTCGCCCCGATCCCACCCCCGGACCCCAACCACGTCCCGGTCCGCCCGGCCCCCACGCCCAGCCCCCACCCCCGACCCCTCCCCGTCCCGGTCCGCCCCGACCCCACCCCGGCCCGACCCCAGCCCCGCTCCCGGGAGACGCCGGGCCTCGGACCGCCACTCACAGCTTCTGGTTGAGCCCGGCCTGGCTGCTGGGCTGGAAGTCGCTGACGATGATGCCGAGCTGCCGGATGTTCTCCACGAACTTCTCCAGGTGCTCCTCCAGGTGGTCGAACTTCTCCGCCATGGCCCCGCAGCGCGCACCGCCCCGGCGCGGCCCCGCTCGCCGCTTCCGGCTTCCGCCCGGCCCCGCCGCCACTTCCGCTTCCTCTGTAGTCGGGGCGGGGCCTGGGCTGTCCGGGGTGGTGGGCGGGGCGGGGCCTGGGGACGTGGGCGGGGCGTGCCTTCTGTGGGCGGGGCGATTCGATGGACGGGACGTGGGCGGGGCTATCTGTGTGGCCCCGCCTCCGCCGTCCCTGGAGGTCCCAGGGGTGAGCCAGGTCCCCCAGGCCTGAGTCCCAAGGACTCCCCTCCGTGCTTTGCGACTCCGCCACCATAGGCCGCGGCAAGTTACCGGGCCCCTGAGTCTCTGCTCTCGTCATTAAAATCGGCGTAATGAGACCCACAGCCACCTGAGGTTAGAACAGGTGACGTAGGGAGGGCAAGCAGGCTGAGCCCGCAGCCCTTGCAAATGCAGCTTGCCCCACGATGAAACTGACTGGGTTGTTTTCTGAAAATGGACATTGCAGGTAGTCGTGTAGGTAATGAAGAAAGCAACACAGGAAAAATATAAGGACAAAAGGAAGACACCCGAAGCCCCTTTCTACCTTCCACCCCCCTCAAGTCATCTTCAAGACCCTGAGACCCACCCTTTCTGCGTGTCTTCAAGCACTGGACCACCGGCCACCAGGAGAAGAGCTAGCTCAGCCCCTTCCCAACAACTCCCCACTGTCCCCATGGGGTGCGGCCACCCCACCTGCTCCCAAGGTGGCCTCTCGCCCAGCCAGGCTCTCTTAGAGCCTCTAGCACTTCGGGGCCACCTGGCCCTGAAAGGCAGCTCAAGCTGGTCTGCAGACCCCACAGTGACTGGACGCCCAGGTGAGGGAGTTAGGCTGGACATCTCCCAAAAGCCCCGGCCACGGGGCATCTAGTGGAAACCTGCCAGGCCCTTCCCCTCACCGCCCCCCCAAGAGTGCAGCATCTTCGCCATCACCCACCTGCATGAAACCCCCAACAGAGGAAGTCTCCCCATCCTCAGTAAGCATCAGGCCGGCCTTTTTTTTTTTTAAGATTTATTTATACATACAGAACTGGGGTACAGGCCAGAGGTGCAGGGGCAGTGAGAGGATTCCGCAGAGACAGAGTGGGGCGCAGAACAGGCAGATCGATGAAGTACACTGCTGAGGGGAGCAGCGGGGAGACAGGAGAGGTCTGCTGCGCCCTGTGGGTCACCTTACCGGGGATCAGGGCGACTGCGGCAGCCTGCGAGCTGCCGAGCTGCTGCGTCCTGACCCGCTGCACCCCCAGGGAGGGCCAGGCCAGCCTTGCTTTCCTTCAAATGCAATGAGCTCTCACTTCCTCTGACTCTTGCTTCTAACCACCTCCCACTCAGCTCTTCTTTCCCTAATGACTGTCACCTCCCTCACCCCTCCTGCCAAGTGTAATAAAACAATACCCTGGGGGTTCCCTAGAAAGAAGAACCTTGTTGTGAAGGGCTGTTCCGAAACAGTGGGATCCCTGGTCACATCACTTACTAGTGCTCCAGCGAGTCCTCCTCCCTGCCTGGCCCCCCTTCCTCCTCGAGCCACAGCAGTCATCAGCTGCCCTCTTCAGTGCCAGGCCAAACAGAAGGCCCCTTTTAAGTGACCTCCAGGCCTCGCCAGCTGTGACCCATGGGAGCCAGGGCAGGGGACTTGTCCCACTCGCTGAGTCAGGGACCCCGTGGCAGCCCACTGGCGGCAGAAGCCTCTTCCCCTGGAATGCACAGACCCTTGGGCACAGATACCTTCCTCCCAGGCGAAGGACAATTGGGGGGGGGGGTCCAAAGCAAGGTGGAATGAAATATTTAGCGAAAGGGAAAAAGGTGGTTTGGGGAGCGTCAGGCCAGGAACCCCCCAGGGCAGCCAACTTCACAAGGGAGAGTCCGGCCCTCTGTGGTGCGGCTGTTGCATCTTGAACACGGAGGGGCATCTCCAGACGCATAAAGAGGGAAGCGTGGAGACATGAACACAGTCCCCACCACAGAGAGCCAAGAAAAGGAGAATAAGCAAAGAGAGGAGCAAACATGGAAGATAAAAGCACGGGAAGGCGGAGAAACAGAGGCCACCAGCCCCGGAAGGCAATAAATGCCCTGAAAGAAAGCCCTGGAGGAGAGTAGTTTGAGTTTCCTTCTTCTTTTATCTGCTGTGTTTTTTCAAAGACACAACTAAAACTAGCTCCGGACAGCTAAAGGGACAGGGTAGGATCAGAGGTGCTTGGAACAACCTCTGCGGCGGGCGGTTGGTGCAAGTTGACAGACGTCTAAGGAGACGTGGATAATCAGAGGAGGGCCCGCCCGAGCGGTGGGCTGGTGTGGCTCTGTGCCACTGACTGCATGGTCTTCTGCTGCCCGGCGCCAAAGCCACACGTTCTGAAGGAACATTCCAAACCCATAGTCACAGCAGCAGGTCTGAACTACTCTATCAGGAAATTATCAGGCAGGTGGACAAAAATACATGAGAAGAATTGAATAATATAATTAGCAGGTGTGGTCGCTGAGAAACCATGAGTCCCGAGGACAGTCATCGCCGAGCATATATGAGACATTTGTAAAAATATGGCCATTCAGTCCTCCGTGGTGGCGCACCGGGGCAAGTCTCAGCACTAGAACACTGACGCTACCACAGCCGCCGCAGCCCCTGCAGCACGAGTTCGATCCTGGCCTGAGAGTGACCCACGGGGCACAGCAGACCCCTCCTGTCTCCCCGCTGCCCCCTCGGCAGTGGGTTTCAGTGGGCCCGCTGTTCTGCTCCCCACTCTGTCTCTGGGGAGTCTTCTCACACACACCCCCCATCCTCTATACTTCTGGTCTACACCCTAACTCTTGTATGCATAAATAAATCAAATAGATCTTTTTTAAAATAGCCATTAACTAAACCACAAAAGAGGCTTCAGCAGATTCCAAATTCTGGCACCTAAGTGGGCTTTTCTGACCTCAGTGTAGTTGAAAACCAAACACAACTGACGATCTGGGTGCACAGAGACCCAGCCCGCCTGTCACTGCGACCATCAGCCCCTCACCAGCCACGGTGTCTCCTCTGGTTGATCCGTTACGTGGCAGAGAGTTAAAGGGAATCGTGAGGTCGTTGAAGTGAGTGGCAAGCGCCTCGTATCAAGCTCCTGCTTTGAGTCCAAAGTCCCACTTTGAGAGGAAATAGTCTGGAAGTAATACACTAGATTTTCAACTGGAAATGTTGAAGACAGATCAAGAGAAAAATCACAAGTACAAAAAATATATGGAGAGGAGAGAAAAAGGTAAAGACAGATGATGAAAATGAAAACTGCTCCGTTAGTTTTCGTCTTCCTTCACGAAAGCTACAAAGGTGAACAGGAAAGAAAAGTGGATTACAGAGCATGAACTGAGCAGACCTACAGCGGGGGGTGGGGGAGATTCTATAATGTAAGCAGCGGGGTCATTTATAGTAAAACCTGCACGGCCCTATCCTGAGAGCTCGGAGGATGTGGGCAATTTGAAGAAAATACCAGAAGTCAACCTAAGAAATGACAAGAAGCCAGAAGAGACCCCAGCTCTCAACACACTGCCCGAGACCAGTTTCAGACGTGAAGCCCGTCAGACCCTGGCAGCTTTTTACACTGGTTTGTTCTCTTTTTAAGCAAATCTCAAAGAAAAAATATTTTCAAACGTCCCTAGATGTTTTTAATGACGAAGAAGACTGAACACATCCAGCCCGTTTGTAAGGGTTTGACCCTGATGTCAGATGCAGGCGGCCAGGACGGTCCAGAATCTTCTTCTGACAATAGAGACCAAAAGAGTCTTGGGGATGGAACAAATGACCACTCACCAGTGACCTGCATAACAAACTCCCCCAAACTCACAACAGCCCCTTCTCAATTTTGCTCCCCAATCTGCAACGTGGCCTGTGGGTGGCCTTCACCAGCTGTGGGCTGGAAGGGCTTGGCTGGACCCCACGGTTCAAGTTCAAGATGGCGGCTCACTTGGCTGCTGAGTGGGGGGCGGGGCTCAGCTGGAGACTGGCCCCCTGCTGGCGAGGTTTGGGGCATCTTCACCCTTTGTCACTGGGTTCGGGGAGCACAAAGTTCCAAAGAAGCGGGAGAAGCCGACCTACCCCTTCTGACCCGCCTCGGAAGCGCCACTGGGCCCCACCACCACCCCTAAGGCCCTTCAGACCCGGGAGAGGAGCCCCAACCTGCGCTATCAGGGGAGAAGTTCCACGCTGCTGGAAGGCAGGCGAAGCGGAGCTCTTGCCAACATTCTGTTTGGGGAAGCAGCACCGTCCCTGGGCTTCTCCTGGGGTGGCGGTCGGTCAGCTGTCACTGCCTGGGGACAAGGGAGTCCCGGTGCAAGGTCACAGGGACACACCTCAGATGGGTCTGAAAAATGGACATTTTGATCACCTGACAGAGTGCAACCCCGCTCATTTCTGAAGCGTAGGGTAGGTTGGCCACTAAAATCTTCCAGAAGGCACGACACGAATGTGAAGCCTCAAGAACATTTTCGTGAAGGTCGCAGACTCGCCCAGATCTGCGTTGTGGGCCAGGGGTCCAGGGCTGGGCCTGCCCCCAGGGGCAGAGGCTGGGGGCAGGGGTGTCCTCCCTCCCGGCTCCTGTGGGCCTCCAACCTCGTCATGAAAATTCCCATTTTATACCTTAGTTTCCAGGCTACCTTTAGGCTTTCTGAGGACAGGAATCTAAACAAATAATCCCCCATCTCCAAACTTATGCAAGTAAACGTACTAAGCTCCATAAACACTTCTGTTTGCAGGGGAGAGCAGACAGAAGCCAAACACTGCCTGTTTCCCGCAGGTGGCCCCCCAGAAGTCGCCCCTCCTGGCTCCCCACCGCTGAGAGGCGCTCTACTGAGTGCTGACTGTGTGGCCTCCGGCTTCGGCCCTTCCCCTGCGCCTTCTGCTGCCTCCTGTGTTTGCCCGCTGGCCGGTGGGAGATGCGGCCGGAACCAGGGCTGTGCCGGCTGGAGAGAACATTCCACAGGGCGTTGTCCACCGAGGCCTCGTCCTACCTGCTAAGAGGCCGCTGGCTGCTCTCCTGCGCCCTTGGTGTCGGC